AACCGAAATGCATAGACTGTAGTAATGAATCAATCTGAGCTGTGCTTGTAGTGGTTAGGTACGTAGTTTTGGAAAATGATCATAATAATGATAAGGTATTCTTGTTAAGTCTAGTACAAGACTACTGTCTACTGTAACTAGCTTTGCAGTGAAAGTGTAGCTTTTCAAGCTCAGCAACAGACATTTAACGGTTAGTTGAGAGCTGTAGGTTTAATAAGGACTAAGGAGGTAGAGGAATGAGTTGAGACATTTTGCATTGATCAAGGATCTTTGCTTCTTTGATTAGGTATGTTTGAATTAAAAAGTGAGTAAAGAGAGACAAAAATGTTGATTTTAGTACTTCTTGTTCTTGATATCTCTAGTCCACTCTAATATGCCCTATAGCATTTGATGATATACCTTAATAGAAGAAGAGATTGCTAAATTGAATCATAGAAAAATTTCAAAATAAGTGGTACGTAGGAAATAAAAACCATACCATAACAAAACCGATTTAAGAAAAAACAAGGATATAAACAAACAAAAATTAAATAACTAAAAAGATCATCATTAATAGTCTGACATGCACATGCATGGTAGATAGATACATAGATATCTTAAAAATAGATAGAGTGTTTGATGGAAACAACTTCACATTCAATTCTACGCTTAATACAGAGTAGTCCTAGAGTAGTAGTAGTAGACATGACATGATAGCTAAATAGAGAGACAGATAATGATATCCTAAACATAGATAGAGAGCGTTAACTTCACATTCAATTTTACGCTAAAAACAGAGTAGTCATAGACTCTAGAGTAGTAAACATGGCATGGTAGATATCCTAAAAGAAGGGATGGTTTTTGATGGAGTTTTCAAGTTCACATTCGATCTCTACCTCCAAAGTACCTTCACGGTCCAAGTAAGCCCCCTGAATTTTATCTAAAGACATGGATTGAGGAAGACCCATCGCTTTGGTCGAGTTCATGATCCAACCTTTAGCTACAACAACAATAAATGTATGTTTAGTACATTAGTTACAAACTTAAAACCACTAGTTTATAGTCAAAGGAGTAGGACATTTGACATTATAAGTTGAGAACGCCTATTGAAAATGTCTAATTTATCCCATTCATCAGCGCTGACAATAAACATTGCGAAATAGTAACATCAATGGTTTTTGACTTACTCCATCCTTTTAGGTGATCAGATCCACGCGGGTCTAGAACCTGCAGGTTTACTCGCACGAAAACCAGCTCACCCTTCAATAAAACTTCACCGTCAGCTAAATGCAAATGCTGGGATAACTCGCCATCTGCCTCAGAGTCTCCCTTTGGATACAAAGTTAGAGTCCTGTAAAATATAAACATCCACTAGTATAGCAAGTTGACACTAATGCACACATACAACAATATATCAGAAAAGGAAACTTCTGATAAACTCACCAATCCTTTTCTCCCATGTGAAAGGTTTTCGAAACGCAATCATTCTGTCTGAGAAGGGAGAAATCACGAATAGTCCAAGAGAATTTGTGAAAAGGGAGATCTTCACCAAAGGAGTCGGGTCGTGAAACAATCTTCACATGAGCTCCAAACTCATGTAGTTCTCCGTACAAGATAAATCCCTTTGCACGGTCTTTGAGTGCTTCAATCGAAAGAGCTTGTGACAATCCCCAAACCGTTTTTGAAGAATTGAACCTCTTAACTTCAACATCTACATGTCAACATGTATAAACACATATTACTGAATCATTCATATATATATATATATATATGCATACGAGAGAAAGAGAGAGATAATAAGGGTATGAACATACGAACCTTGAATAGAGAGGTACTTCTTCTCTTCCTCGCTAAAGATAAAGAAAGTGAGATAAGCAAACACATCAATGGGTGGTGTTGTCGATGAGAGACATTCCACATACATTGAAACAAAACCCATTCCATTGTCCTCTTCGTTTCCTTTTGGGTAAACAACCAATCTCCTGATTTTACAAAAAGGACAACATTTCTTAGTTATATATGCTTCTAGTGAAGAAAGATGTGAACTTTAGTGAAGAAAAATGTGAACTTTAGAGAAGAAAGATGTAAACTTTAGCGAAGAAAGATGTAAACTTTAGAGAAGAAAGATGTGAACTTTTAAGTAGAGAACAAGATCACATACCAGTTGTGTCCACCGGAAGAGAAAGGAGGGGATTCGTATTTGTCGTTAGCAAGCTGAGAGAGTCTGACAAGAGAAGAAGAAGAAGGAGCATTCTTTCTCCAACTCTTCAACATCGCAGAGTCTGATGCATTTGAACCCATTTCTCTACAAAATGTTGCAACACTAGAGAGTAAAACAAAACATTTATCCAAAATCAGAAAAGATTCGAGTTATATGGACTAATATGATACAAAAGAGAAGACTTTGGTTTAGAATTCTCAGATACTAAAAACCACACAGAAAGTTTTGTGCTTTTTTCTCTTAAAAGACTAAAGAAGTTGAAACTTGAAAGCTAAGAAAAAGAATTCGACGAACCTGAGACAACGAGAGATCTTGAGAGATTTCTTCGTCACTTGTTAGATCTAGGGTTTAGATAAGATTTATATAGAGGTTTGTTAGAATGGGCCTAAAGCTACAAAGCTGGCCCGTTTTATTTTTATATTGTTGGTTTGATGGACATTTCGAAAATGTCCAAAAAAGATTTTGATTATTGAATCGCTTTACATTTTGCATTTTCTTCTAAATTAAGATTGGATGACTATAGTCTAACATAGTAATATCATTCTGGTTAGCCTACCAAAAAAAAGTAATATCATTCTGGTTTGGTTATTTAATTGAAGCTTAGCATCATTCTTTGGTTCGTGTATTGATAGAAAACTATGTGAATGATATCATGATATATTCTTCTTATTTAAACACATTTAAACTATTGTTAAATTTTGTTTGTTTAATTTAAATTTGAATTAGTTTATTTAAAATTTCAATTAAATACTGAAGCACAAGAGAAACTTTAAATAGAAGAATCAAAACACAAAAAATGAAGATATGACGTTTCCACTTAAATGGATAAATTGGGATAAAATTAATTTAAATTTAAATGAAACAAACATAATTTAACTATTCCGCGTTGAGAGATATTATTGTTCTGTCATCTTTTATAGCTACACAAACAAAAAAGCTAATTTTAAGGTTTATAGTGTTAGTATAAATATATTGGTGGTTTAAAGTATTAGCGGAATTCTCTCGAGGTTTAAAGTGATACTCGGTGACACTTTCAAAGTTAAAATGTAATGTTCCCTACTAAATGATGAATACTTTGGCAAAACTTTTGGTGATTAGTAAACTTTTTTTTTGGCCAAAACACCATTTGTATTAAGTTATCGAATAATTTAAATTCAATAGATTATTATAATAAATATTACAATAAATTTAGATTATAGAAATGAAAATTACTGTATCAAGGTAAAAAATGAATGTATAAACAATTCTTTTATTGAACTCAAAATCTATTTATTTACTTCTGAAAGATAGTTTTTACTTACAACATAATTTTGATATCTCTACCTGTTAAATTTTATTTCATTTTTAAGAAAATTAAATCCGCACATCGAACGGGTCATAATCTAGTATATATAATGTTTCATAATCCAAGATTTAGTTTTAATTTTGTTTGTTTTTAAAACTTAATTAAAGATAAGTCAAAAATATTACTGTGTCAGAAATATAATATATTGTCACTGCTGCCAAATTTCCAAAATCATCAACTTGACGATATTAAAAAGCCTCATCAATCTAGTTTCCAATTAGTCCAAAATAAGGTAAATCCATGAGTAACTTTGATGATAGATTGGTAAACTAAAAGAAAGCAGTACAAAGTGGTACAATTTTTATTTATACCAATCACAAAAACAATTTTAAAAGCGTTACTAAAAGTGTTATTCTTAGTGTTTTCGTACAGTTTTCGTGTACTACTCTTTTTTACAATTTTGTACTATACCGTAACACCATACTAATCCAGTTTACAGCTAAAAAACTTATACAACTTTGTGTTACCAATCAGATCATATAGCTAAAGTAATCTCAGCTAAATAGGCAAAAAAAAGGAGAAGTTAACATACACTCCGTGGAATATTAATGGACTAACAATACCATTACTTAATTATGTAGTACTTTGACGGTAAAAATTTACTCTAGTTAGAAAGAATGTGTACTCAGACAAGTTTTACCTCTTTGAACAAAAAACATTAAGTAGGAAGAGTAGAAGCAAGCAAAGTATGCCAACAAGACCAAACAACCAACCTAAAAAGAGCGTGAGCCATGCATGTTTCATATCAATATTCCTCCGGTGAACAACAATATGGTGAATAACGACATGTACAACAAAAACATGTTCTTTGTTCAACAAAAGTGAATAATATCCCGCGTTTCGAACACTAGGTAAATGGCAAGCTCAGAGAACACAACCTGAGGAATTATCTCTTTAGGTCTAGTAAACTCCTTCTAACAAGTGGAGGGAGGATCAATGAAGAAGAGATATCTGAGTAGCGTAAAATGCGTAGAATGTTGTGGTACTGATTGCACAGACCGTGAGGAACTAAGACGTTGATTACGAGTCATCAGATGGCAAGAGAAGGTTGCAGTATATGGAGAGGCCAAAGAGCGAGAGTAGAGTCATTGCATACCATATTTCTCACTACAAAAATAGGGGTGATTAACGTCAGTTATATTGTGTCAAAAAATTAACTGACGCAAATTTGAATTAATTAATAATAAGTGACACTGATTTGACAGTTCAACATCATTTCTAATAAGTGATGTAAATAGCACCTGGTATATGACGTTTGATTGAAAATGATGCTAAATAATCTAAATTTGCATCACTTTTAACGAGCAACACTAATAATTCGTATTTGTAACAGTAATATAACTGATACTTTTGCAAATTGTTTCGTATTTTTAATAAAATTTTTTTTGCATCAATAACAAGTAATATTAATTTAACCTCAATTATAAAACAGATGCATGTATGTGTCTTAATTGGAAAAACGGTCTATTTCCCCATGAGAAGTATGCATATCACGCCAGATAGAGCCCGTTCTTTGACCTCGGTCTATTTGTCCATGAAACGGAAGTTAAATACTTATTTCCCCACGAAATCGAAGTTCAATAGCTTAATCTCCCCGAATATGAAAGTTCGAGATCTATAACCCCATCGTGCTGGGTTTAATCGGTTTACTGTATTCTTAACCGATAATTAAACCATCTTAACCTAATTAAAACCGAACTAAACCGGTTTTCAACACGATTACAACCCGATTTCATTCATTTAACCCCAAATCCCCATTCCCAAATCGAAAACCCGAAACCCTAAAATTCTCTCGACGAACCCTAGAAACCCAGAAATTGAAAATCAAAGCTCCTCGATCTGCTGTTCAAAGTCTTGGAGATGTCGATAGTTCCTCATGATCCTGATGTTGTCGGCGATGTCGATCCTGAAGCTAAAGACAAAGATGAATTTCACATGGAAGAGATGTTAAGGGAGTGGACCGACGAACCACCAATCTGCCACGATGTGTACCCGGAGAGTGATACTGAAGACAACGACGACGATCCTGCAAGATTTCATACACATGTAAGGCGTGGTGATGGCCATTTGTACCCGAAGCAGAGTTTCTTCAGTGGAGTTGCATTCAAAGAGGCGGTTGTTGATTACGCTCTCAGATCCGGATGCAATCTGAAGCAGTACAGGTATGATAATGATAAGATTGGATTCAAATGTGTTGGAAATGATGGTAAGGAGGATGGAGTTCGGTGTGAATGGCAAGTTTATGCGGCAATTCTTCCGAAGGATTTAATGTGGAAGATTAGGAAATTCATTGACAGACATAGCTGTATCCCAAATGGAGAATGCGAGATGTTTAAGGTGCCACATATAGCTAGGTTGTTTGTTGACAAGATTAGGGATAATCCCGAGTTCAACATGCCTGCAAAGCTTGAAGAAATCATCATGGAACAATGGAAGATCTCTGTCACTAGGAATCAATGTCAGTCAGCGAGGAAGAAAGCGTTGCAATGGATTGAGAAGGAGTTTGATGATCAATTTGCAAGGCTAAGGGACTATGCGGCTGAGATCCTTGAGTCAAATAAGGATTCACACGTTGAGGTAGATTGTCTGACGACTGATGAAGGTAAAGACATCTTTAATAGGTTCTATGTTTGTTTTGACAGCCTGAGAAGGACATGGAAGGATTCTTGTAGGCCTCTAATAGGTATTGATGGTTGTTGAATAAGGTTAAGGGACAGTTACTGGTAGCATTAGGTAGGGATGCTAACAATAGGATCTATCCTATAGCTTGGGGTGTGGTTAAAGTAGAGAACACAGACAATTGGGTTTGGTTTGTGAAGCTGTTGAAAGAGGACTTGGGTTTAAGCAATGGTGAAGGGTTCATCATGATCTCAGATAGACAAAATGTAACTTTTCTTGTCTTTTGTTGTTTTGTTTTGTCATTCTAGTGTGGTTGAATGTTCTTGTCTAAGCTAATGTTTTTTTTTTCAGGGTTTAATCAAAGCTGTTCAGCTTGAGTTACCCAATATAGAGCATCGGATGTGTGTCCAACACATCGATGGAAACTTGAAGAAGACTCATGGTTCTAAAACCAAGATAAAGCAACTGCTCTGGAATTTGGCTTGGGCCTATAATGAAAAAGATTTCAAGCAGCACTTGGAGAAGATATTCTGCTATGATAGTGTTGTCTTCAATGGTTTGCAGCCTTCTCAACCTGAACCAAGTCAAGGTTCACTCACTCAAGCTTGATCCAAGGAGTTTTTAGCTAAGACTGACATAGGGTAGAAGAACTAGGGTACTTATATTGTGGTTGTCTCATTGTAATTTTCGACCACATTGACTTCTGTATCCTTAACTTCTTTTGAATGTTTAGGATGAATGTTATTTTGAATGTTATTTTGGATGTTGAATTTGAATGTTTAGGATTAATGTTATTTTGAATGTTATTTTGAATGTTATTTTGATCAAATGCATTCTCTTAAACATAAATCAAACAAGAGTACCAACAAGAGTACTAAATGCAATCTCTTAAACATAAATCAAACAAGAGTACCAACAAGAGTACAAACAAGAGTACTAAAGACATAAGAGAAATCAAACAAGAGTACAAAGACATAAGAGAAAGCTAAAGCATTCATCGGATCCACATTCATCCTACAAGTTTGGTCAATCCAATCATAATCATACACCCTAACACTACGATAATCATCATCTTCTTATTGCTTGATTTGGCTTCAGACAAAACATCTTCCACCTTCTCAAATAACGCCGTCTCTATCTTCATTTGGCCATTCTCCGAAAGCATCTTAACAAACTCCAACCTCTCTGTTCTAAGCTCTTTCAACTCCAGCTCAAGTTCAGAATTCTTTGCTTTCAATGTCTCTAACTGATTGAGCAAAGCTTCATCAATCCATTTGAAAGTGTGATCATCGTTCCTTAGCTAGATATGAACAGTGATCTTTTAACATTAGAAGAATCTAAAACATGAAAAAGAGGAAATAGAGATTGACATTACCCTATGTTTTGCAGCAAAACCGCAACGAAAGTATCTCCGGTAAGGATTCGGATCAGATTTAGACATTAGTGCAACGATTCCTTCCCCGCACCAGCAGCTCTTTGGCACTCCGACCACTCTTCCTCTTCCACGAGGACCTGTAGATCCCGTCGAACTCGATGATAGATTGCTCATCTTCAAACTCAAAATCGGGTATTCAACTCAAAATCGGATTTTAGGGTTCTTGAGTTTTGAATTTGGGGATTTTGAAATTGGGAATTGGGAATTTTGATTTTGGGGTTTAAAACGACAATGGGTCGGTTTTAATATGGAATCAGGTCTTTTTTGGTTTGGTTACGACCCATACATGGTTTTGTCTCGGGTTTACGCACCAAACCGACGAAACCACGATTCGGGGAGATTAAGCTATTGAACTTCGATTTCGTGGGGAAATAAGTATTTAACTTCCGTTTCATGGACAAATAGACCGAGGTCAAAGAACGGGCTCTATCTGGCGTGATATGCATACTTCTCATGGGGAAATAGACCGTTTTTCTAACTTAATTATTATTGTTTGGTCATGTTAATACAATATAATAAAATATTAACTAACTAAGAATAATGTTTTACCCATGTGAATAGAGTAGACTCAAATTAACGACAAAAATACAAAATGACTCTTGCAAAGCCCATCTAAGTAAAGCCCATATATGTTCATCTTCTCTTTCGCCGTTGGCCATTACACATATGCTCTTCTTCGATTTTGCTTCAGTTTTGTTTACAAAAGAATATTAAGGTAGATGCAAATCAATTTTGTTTGTTTCCTTTGTTTGAAATCCATTGTTGGATTGAGAGTACGGTGATTTCTGATGATTCCAAGCTCCGCCGCTTTTATCACGATGCCTTCGATAGAGCGAGAAGCCGTCTTCGATTTGATTAACTATCTATGGATGATTTTGATTTGTGCTTTGGAAATTTCATGAAGAGTAAAGAGAAGCCTCTTATTACTGGCAGATGAGTTACTCTCTCTCTCTCTCTCTCACTTATACTAAATATTTATAATCACAGATCTGAACAAACTATGAAAAAAATATATATGTAATTATCTTCTTTTATGTAATTCTTGCACATACATATATAATGAGTCTAAGGATTTATTTAAATAATGCCTGCTCTTTAATCATTTTTAATGTATCCGTAGGAAGAACAAACTGGAAAAACACCGTGTCGAGCATAATTTTTCATTGTAAGTCGTAGGTTTAGGCAAAAAAACCGCTAACCAAATAACCGACCGAACCGAACTGAAAAAAACTGAACCATATCCGAACAGAAGTTTTTTAAATAACCGAATGGTTAGTAAAATCCCCTATTCCAAACTAACCGAAACCGAACCGAACCAAACCGATAACCAAATGGTTAACTGAAATATCCAAAAACCTATAAGATACCCAAAAATAATATCCAAAACTATAATTATAGACTCAAAATATTAATTATTTTTAGAATCAAAACAATCAAATATTTTAAATAATCAAAATATCCAAATTGTTTGTTATATTTGTCAAGTTAAATACTCTTTTACAAAACTGAATCAAATTTTATTTTTTTTCTAATATTTTTCTTTTTTTGTATTTTCTTTTTGTATTTTTTTCGGTTAATTTTGGTTAGTTTCGGTTATATTCGGTATATTTCGGTTAATTTGGATAAAAACCCGAACCAAACCGAATGTGATAAAAGTTTGGTTATCTATTTAAATATCCAAACCGAACCGAACCGAAAGGTAACCGAACCGAACCGAACCAAAATTCCTAAAATATCCTAATGGTTATTATATTATCATATCCAAACTAACCGAAACCGAACGTAACCGAATATTTCCGAACCAAAACCGAATGGTTAACCGAACGCCTAAGCCTAGCAAGTCACATGAAACCTGATGGAAGTTTTGTATGTGAAGAGGCAAAAAACCATGCGGTTAGTTTTTTTATTTATATAAATGCATTGCATTGTTAAGCTTTTTTTTTTTTTTTTAATATATTAATAAACCCAAATGGGCACGACAAACAGAGTTACACGGCCCAAAAAGGGCCCACAAAAAAAAAGGAAAAACAAATCAGAGGCCCGACGGTAGTAGAGCTCGGAACCGGGTGCGAGTTACCGGAGACAACGACTAATCGTCCACGAAATCCGGCGTTAACAAAGGGCACTACTTCGCTTCACCTTCGGCTGCTCCAAAGCTTCGATTGGAGCTAACGATTCCAAACCAAAACTCTAAAGCCTCGGTCAGATATTACCCGTAACTCTCTTCCCGGACTGAACCTAGCCAAAGACAACCGGACCCACCACCTTCCTCTCCCCGACATAGCAACAAGAAGGATCTCGGATCTAACCCCCACCTCCTACTCCGGGACACCGAACCACTAACCTAGACTGCACCTGCTTCAACCGGGAGAGACGAAAACCAGCTCGATAACGGTTAGGTCGTCGGCTCAACACAACCACAACCGCCAGAACCCTAGCCAGCCAGCCCAGATCTGAAAAGAACAACCACAAATCGACCCAACACATGGTGAAAAGCCTCCGATCCGCCTGTCGACTTCCGCCGCCATCCACAGATCCAAAACCGACACCTCGAGCTGAATCACTTTAAGCCAAACCACCGAGTCCTCAACAGTAGTACAACGACAAAAAGCAATTCCAATGTCGGATTCGCACCCACGAAAAGCGTCTAGGGCAGATCTACCACATCACACCACCACCGGAGAAACAAGGCCGACACCAACCGCTGGTCCGAGAACCCTCTTTGCCGACGATGAAGAACAAACAACTAAGAGGCAGGAGGGAGAGGAGCAGAGGCAAACCGGAGAAGGAAACCGGTGCCGGAGAGACTCCTCTCCCTCAGATCTATCAATTGACGGCTAGGGTTTATTAGGAGAGAGGTGGGAGAGTTTTTGCCTCTCAAAGGCCTAATATATTTTATGCATTGTTAAGCTAATATGCTTAGTTTTATCAATGGTTATGCTTGTTTATATCTTGATTAAATATTTCAGGATGAACTCACACTCTTGATGAGTCAAAATCCTTCAGTTGGAGGGTCAAACAATATCACCGCAAGTTTGGATGATGAATACTCCAAAGTATTTGGTCCAGAGCGTTCAGGACGCGTCCGTTGTGTCGGATGTGGACCTACACCTTCAAAATTGCCGAAATGTTCTCCTACTCCAATATTAGATGCAACAAATTCCGAAGCTGTTGAGTTGAGGTCACAAGTTTCAGGGTTGCAAAGCCAAGTCCAGAACTTGGCTGGGATTATTCAACAATTAGTTGGTGCCTCTACTACTCAAGTAAATTTATGGTGCTTAGTTTTTCATGTTATAATAGTATGTTTTATTGTGAACTAATGTTACTGTATGTATAGACAACTGGATCGACGCCAAATTTAGCTGCTCTGTTAGCAAACTTGGCCAATCAACCAAATTTTACTACTATTTTATCGAGCTTGGCCAATCCACCAAATTCTCAGGTATTTTTTTGAAATCTTTATGTCTTCACTTGTTTAATTCATCATTTCTCCTCAACTCTCTAATATTCTATTTGATATCTAAATATCTGTGAAGAACTAGTCAGGAGAGAGTAGTCTGACATAATTTATTTTTAATTGGGTTGTTCATAGGCAATGAAAGATGGACATGAAAATCGGAACGTTGGC